AATCACGGATCTAACTTCCTTAAATTATTCATATCAATCGATTCCTTTTATTGGTTCAATTTGTCTTAGGAAACAAATAACAATTTTTTAAGAAACAAATAATAGATTTGAATCTAACTTTCCTAACTTATCTAAATCAATCGATTTCTCTTATTAGTGAAATTTGTTTTAGGAAACAAATAACAGACACGTCACAAACTTTCCTCCCAATAAATAGTTTCTTAACATTTGCAAACTTTCCTAATCAGACACGTCACAAACGGGCAGGTACTGATATAATGTTACCAAACAATAAAACCCCATCTGCATAAAAATCAGTTCAAAATCCTAACTTTCCTAAATTTTTAGCTTTCCTTGATAACATCCAATATTTCCTATGTTTTCCACCTATTGAAGGAAATCAGCCTTCCATCAATATTAGCATTTTTTGGAATGAGATCTCCGGGTTATGATTTTTTTGCGATTCTTTCCAACTGTGACCTCTCCTTCTGCTCCGGCTCCTTCTCGCATAATCACCTCCACCACAGCCGGTTGGCGCCACCCTAGACCTCTTGCCTCTCCACACCTTCTCCGCCACCTCCTCTCGTACTCCATTGACAATCCCTTCGCCACGTTTGTCCACAGCGGTGTCGAGGGCAGGGCAGAACAGCATACCAGTGGTAGAGCAGCGCATAGCAGCAGGAAGAAGCACGCAGCAGGCGAGGCGAGCGGCCGACGATGAAGGGCAGAGATGCGGCCGGCGTGGCTGAGGGGGCAGCCGGCAAAAGATGGCCACGACAGGAGGCGCCGCGAGACAGGGCGCGACAGCGGGGTGAGCGAAGGGATAGGCGGCAGCAGACGGGGTGAGCGCAGCCAGCGAGAGCGTGACGCATGGCCAGGGTGTGCGTCACGCGGGGCATCGTGGTTCGGTGCATGTGGCGAGCGTGATGGCAACGGCGGGCGCGACGGACGTGGTGTGCCACGTGCGTGGGCATGGAGAGCCAAAGAGGGAGTGGCCCCGCGGGCGCGGAAGAAGAGCTGAAGGCTCTGGCATGGGCGCACATAGGAGCGGGCATGTGCCACGGGGTCAATCTGAGGGGCTCAATGGCTACCCCTGCAATTGCCATGGCGGACGGTGGTTCTCGGCCACGGCAAAATACTTAACGAGAGCAAACAAGAGGGGAAACTGGGGAAAGGAAAGAGGAGATCACGGCGGTGTCAATGGCACTCTAGGAGAAGACAGGGGAGCTCGGGGCGGCGCGGATCGAACGGGAATGTCGCGGTGGCCGAAGGTTGAGGAAGACGGCAACGACATCGATCTGGGGGTGCTGGACTTGATCTCGTTGGCGCAGATGAAGTAGCGGAGGCATTCAGAGCTCCTCGACAAGCTCCTAGCCAGCAGAGAGGGCAGTGGCCGTGTGGACGGGGTCGGTCATGGTGGCCGTGGCATCTGACTTCGTCCAGATCACCGGGATCGAGCGAGTGAGGAGGAGAAGTGGATCTGGGAGGGGGCGTCGAGGAGGAGTGAGGCCATGGGGGCACGGGAGGTAGGGCATCACCCTTATCCATTCCCCTTCGATGCCGGCGAGGTGGTCGGGCGGGAGCCCGGCTCTGTAGCGACGGGCTCGGGGAACAGGAGAAGACGACCATGCGGGGACTGGACCACTGGGCCGGTTCGGTGGCAAGGCCCGAGGGGTAGGGGGAATCCCCTTTTTCATCGTCCTTTTGGTTTTTAATGTATTCTAATCCGTTTCTCCTTTTTAACACCGTTTTCTATTTATTCTTATACAACTAAATGAATTTTGTTAATTGTGAAACTATGCACACAATTCGAGCACAATATTTTTAGGTGGCACAAAAAGTTTGAGGCCAAAAGGAAATACATAAAATTAGATTTATATTTAACTGGTTATTTTAACTACTGTTGGACCTCTTATTAATTTGACAAGATTTAATTTTTGGTTCAAATAATGTTGGGCTCAACATGTCAAAGATCAGTGGAATTTATAGAATATGGTGAACATTTTAGTTTTACTATTTGATGAAATAATTTATTTGACTTTATTTTAAATTTGAATTGGGCTTTGATTTTTATCAAGTGGCAGTTTGGCTTAGCAAGCCTGAGGACATGGCATCATTAGGGGGAGGTCACTGTAGCTAATGACTTGAGGTGTTACATAATCTTCCCATTTCTGAAATTTTATTGTTAAATGATTGGGGAATATATCACACTATCCATTAGTTCAGTCAAGCTCATCATAAGTCCACACATTATTGCCAATTGAGTAAGTCTTATTGGCGGGGAGAATAGGCTATGTGTGTGTGGGTTAGAGAGAGAGAGAGAGAGAGAGAGGGAGAGAGAGTGGGGAAGAGGGAGGGGGAGAGAGTGTGCGTGTGAGGATTTGATGGTAAAAAAGGCCGCTAATGTCGTAATATCGAACTCTTAAAGTTAATGTGGCCCTGTTGCAACGCACGGGCGTTCTTCTAGTCAAGCTAACAATGATCACTGATAACACTGATTGGTGCTAACAGTGATCATTGCTAGCAATGATCAATGCTAACACTGATCAAAGCTAACACTAGTCAATGCCAACAGTGATCAGTTCTAGCAATGATCAATGCTAACACTAATCAGAGCAAGCAATGATCAGAGCAAGCAATGGTCAGTGCTACCATATTATTCCAAATGCACATGCATTTTCTTACTCTGATCATGTGTCTCCTACTACTATTTTGGGCATTCGGGTATGTCCTACTACCATGCACATGCAATGTCCTATGTTGATAATGCATTCACATAGCCTAACAACAACAAGAACAACATCCAACACACTTGCACATCATACACACTATGTTGATCATCCTATGAAGAACACCACTAACATACACAACAAGAGCAACAATAGAACTACACACTAAGAACAATGCTAAGCACAGCAAGAACAACAACATCAACAATGTGGAGCAAACAAAACAAACAATGTGGCAAGAACAACATCAAGATCAATGGTAAGAACAGCAAGAACAATGCTAACAACATCACTAACACCAGCAAGAACACTGCTAAGAATAGCTCTAACACTATAAAGAACGATGCTAAGAACAACATCAATAGTGGCATTTGGAGTGAACAAACTAGTATTCCCTGTCATCTATCTAATCTAGCACTAGCATTCATCACAAACAGGAAGAACGACATCAACATGATAGGCATGCACACATATTCATCCCTAAAAACGGTGGTTTCGTATCGAATCCGCTCGAATCGAATCGAATCGGATTGAATCCACTATGAGGGTGCCGGTGGAGCTTATGTCGGTCGTGAGTCACAATCTAATCTAACCTAAGAACCCTAACTATGAAGGAAGGGGAGATTAGAGGAGCTTACGGTGGGGGTGCCGGTGAAGCGTATGCCAACCGTGGAGAAAACCCCGGCGGGAAGAGGGGTGCCGCCGCCGAAGAAGAAGAAGAACTGGCCGTGACCTCGTTGTGTGCCGGCTGGAAGAGGAGCCCGGCGTCCTCGAGCTCCCCTCCCCTTGCACCGGACGCAGGGGAGAAAACCCTCGAATGGTGTAAAAATACCCCCATAAGAGGGGTCGTCAAATGGCGGAGCCAGCGGGTATGAATGCACGCCGTTGTTGAGCCCAAGAAGTGGAGCTCCAGCACCGGTGGCGGAATCGGAGCGAGCGGCGACGGCGCTGCATTGGCTCGTGGCGGCGGCATGGTGCGGAACGGAGAGGACACAAGGTTTGCCACCGCGAGATCCCGTTCGGAGGCGGAGAGACCGGCAACCCACCTCCTGGATGCGATTGCTGTCGGCGATGACCGGAATGGGTGGGGCGCGGCGAGACGGTGGCTCTGCCATCGGAGAAACCAAACGGGCGGTGAGGGGTAGGGAGAGTGCGTGCGAACTATCGAGTGTGGTGACGGGAAGGAGCAAGGCAAGTTATAAGACGTTTCGTTGTCTCCCGTGCTTCCCCACGCGTGGCTCGAGCGAACCTGTCTTGCAAAAAAGGCCGATCCGACCGTTCTTCCAGAGCCAGACCCAGACCTGCTTTGAGGTTCGTGCGGGCCAAGTTTTAGATGCAGCTCAGGCAACCAAATGGGCCCAAAACTGCTCGCCTGGGCCTGGCTGAACCTAATGCATCCCTTGTGCTTGCGGTGTGCCTTGCATCAAATTTTATAGGATATGGTTGTGCGCGGCCGAGGAAACAGATGTCAGAAGGTTTATCCAAAGTCATATGCTATTATAAATATATATGCCACATCAGATCACTGGAGACATGGAGCAAAGAGGGGAATGAAAGAGGGAGTTTACTGTTGCAAGAAGTGGTGAGCTAGCTCGCCTAGTAGCAAATAAATTTATTATTAGAGGATAACTTACTAGAAAAATATTGAGTACCTCAGACCATATAATTAGCAGTTTTATGCAAGATGCGCACACAAACTATTGGAGGGGGTTGGTACTCTGTATAATATGCACACTCATTTTCATCCTAATAATAATGACCACAGTGAGGGGGAAAAGTGCACCCGAGTGCAGATCAGCACCCAAGCTCCAATATATGCACCTGTTATGTTATATATTATTTTTGAAAAATGCATTTGTAATTATCAAAAAGGGCTGAAATATATAATTAAATGTCATTTGTTTAGACAAAAAAAAGATGAAGAGGAGGTCTAAAAAAGCAACTTCGAAATCCATATCTCGCGCATCTACTAGCTGGTTTACATGCGTTATGTGTACTTATTAATTCAGACATCATAAGTTTGCCCTCGATGACCAGGTAAAAGCTGAAGGCGTAAGAGATAAACAGGGTTAGTACTCTGTTGTTGCCTCTGTTTCCACCGAAGTGATACCAATAACCACCGCGAACAAGAAGCATTCGTCCACCCACAAGGAAAGAAGGTAAAGCGATATCTTCATGTTCCGACTCTGCCCATTCTAAATGGTTGCCTATTTTCGATAAAATACCCTTGGGACTAATTTTGGTTTATATGATCACAGGAGTGAGTTATTTATGGCCATGATCTTACCAGCCATTCCTGTAGCTGTTGAGGTGATTTCCAGTGTCAATGCATTGAACGAATTCGTCGGCTGGGCGACACCACACATGAAAGCGGCCATACGTTATGCACGGAACATTCCACGGTCACCAGATGAAGAGAACACAGCTGCACAACGCCAGATTCAAGAGAAAATTGAGCAGCTAGGCGATAAGCTTGGGAGGCTGAAGACTCGTATTTGGAAGCTGAAGACAACTATGCCCAAGATGCTTGACCTCATTGACAGGGTTGAGTGGCAAAGCCACAAGGAACAAGCCACTGTTCTACTCCCGGAGATCAAGGATGCAGTGTACGATGCAGAGGATCTGCTTGATGAGTTTGATTATTATGCGCTCAAGTTGAAGGTTGAGTGCAACAAAAATTTGGGGCAAGATCACTTGCATAATGCCTTCATGGAATTCTTAAACACTATAGACAGTGATGAGCCCAATAATTACACCACGAAAGTCAATGATATTCAAGAAAGACTAGATCATCTGAATCAACAGTCCAAAGATATGGGCTTGCACAAAGCAGAGCTGAGGTTTGATAAATCAGTTAGGCCAGAAACGAGTTCTTTCGTTAATGAGACAAAAATATTTGGTCGTAAAAAAGAATTGAAATCTTTGATGGAGAAGCTGGGAGTTAAAATTCCAGTTAAAAGTACAGGGAAGAGAAAATTGGCCGAAGGTAGTGCAAGAATGGAAGAATTACCTGTGTTGCCAATAGGTAATGCAAGAATGACAGAATTGTCTGTGTTGCCAATAGTCGGCATGGGAGGTATGGGAAAGACAACAATGGCCCAACAAATCTGCAATGATTCAAAGGTGAAGAAGCACTTTAATCTCATAATTTGGACATGTGCTTCAGATGATTTTGACAAAAAAAGATTAACCAAGGAGATTCTAGAACACCTGGGACAAGATACATCATCCAATAACCTGAATTTTCTTATGACAAAACTACAAGATTGTGTCAGGTCCAAAAAGTTCTTACTTGTTGTTGATGACATGTGGGATGATATCTTGAAGGATGATGGGGCGGGATGGAGGGAGTTTTGTGCACCTCTGCAAAATGGTTCTGAAGGAAGTAGGATTTTGGTCACCACTAGATCTCCCGAGGTTGCCAAAGTAATTAGCCCCACGTATCACTATGAGTTACCTTGCTTAAAAGGTGACATATTCTGGGAGTTCTTCAAACTATGTGCATTTGGATCCACGAGTTCTGGCAACAACCGTGAGTCACTAGAGTGCATTGGTAAGAATATACTTCCAAAGTTGAAGGGCAACCCATTGGCTGCCAAGACTATTGGACGTTTGTTGAGGATGGACCTAAGTACAACACATTGGGAAAATATAATGGAAAGTGAACTCTGGCAAGTAGAACAAATGGAGAATGACATTTTGCCAGCCCTTCGACTGAGCTATATGTACCTACCTCAGAACCTGAAAAGATGCTTCTCAATCTGTGCAATGTATCCCAAGGATCACAAATTTGAGATGGGTTTTTTAGCTGATATTTGGACTGCACATGGATATGCGGAGAATTCCCAAAAAGCATCACTCTATTTTAATGCCCTTGCAAATCGGTCATTCTTTCAGCAAGCATCTTCACACAGTTATATGTATGTAATTCATGATCTGATGCATGATACGGCACAGCTTGTCACAAAGGATGAGTGCTTCATCATAAAGCATCCGCGTGACATAGATAGAGTCCCTTCAACTGTCCGTCATCTGTCAATATTTGGAAACGGAGATATTGAGTGTTCTGAACTGAAGAAAATATGCAATAGCAAAAAAATAAGGACTCTGGTATGTGATGATAAATATAACAGCGGAGAAGATTTTGCTAGCGTGATTGACTGTTGGTTCAAGGAACTGTTGAAAATCCGTGTACTGAAGTTTAGAGTTGGCAAAGTAAAGAAGTTACCTGAGAGCATGGGCAACTCAAAGCATCTGCGTTACTTTTGTTTACTGGGGCCTTCCAACTTCGGCACCCTACCTTCATCGGTTTGTCGTCTGCATAAGCTCAGAATTATAGAGCGTGGTGGTGGTGTCATTAAAAGGTTTCCACCAGACTTCAGTGACCTCATCAGCTTGCAGAGAATTAATTCCAAGGGGTTCACTTATGACAGGGACCAATCTGAAAAACTCTGCCTAAAATGGCCCATTATTGAGGTTGGAGCACCTAGTAGTGAGACGGTGGGAATGAAGGAAAACCAGATGGAAGTATTACCTCACTGGAATATCCAACATTTGCATGTAGAGAATTACAAAGGTGAATCTTGTCCTAGCTGGCTCATGCCCCAGCTCCTGCCAGGGTTACGCTCGCTCAAATTTCGTAGTTGTGACAAAATCAAGAGCATACCATTTTTTGTCCCGTCAGAGGAGTCACGCGATAATGCACAAGGACCAGACAACCTTAATCGTCTTGAAGAGTTAGTCGTGGATGCTTGTTATGAAATCAATTGGCAAGGCTCGATAGTCTTACCTACTTCTCTTAGGAAGCTAACACTTTCGGCCTCAGGCTGTTCCATGGATAACCTTGTGAGCTGCTTCCGTGACCTCACCTCCCTCACTCATATGGAAATAAGGTTCGGCAGATCATTGACATCCATCCCCCTCGATGTGTGGAGTAGTAGCAACCTTCCATCCCTGGAGGATCTATCAATTACGGATTGCTACCGCCTTGCATCAATAAGTGCCTCTGGAGCAAGCAGCAGCAGCGGTGTTAAAGGATTCTCAGCCCTTGCTAAGATAGAATTTTACGAATGTGGCGCATTACTGAGCCTTGATGAATTCCTGACGCCAGACTATCTACCTGCCGTGAAGACGATTTCTGTTACAAACTGTGAAGCGTTGACATCCGTGTCCGTCGACAGGCTCCACGGCCTGGAGAACCTGGAAATTGGACGTTGCCACCACTGGAGAATATTGTCAGTGCCGTCCTCTCTTAAGCAGCTCGACTTGTATAGTTCTGACGGCATAGAATTCATCGACCTCAGCAATAGCCAGTCTCGGAGTTCTTCAGCACTGAAGGTACTTAGCATTACGGGCTGTCCAAGCCTCAGGTCCATCGGTGGTGAAGCAGCTATTGCTGAAATAATGAATGTTGGTATAACCGGGTGTCCCAACCTCACGGAGATACAACAGCCACTCGAGCGCGGGTACGTATGATGACAGGGAATTTAATTGCTGTACTTTATATGCACATCATTTGTTCTTTACAATATATCCTGAGATAGCTGTATGGTAATCTCGTTATGTCGCTCGTTCAGCTCATCAACATTCTTATCTGGCAACCCTAATCCGTGAGGTGCACATGTGCTCATATGTCTACACTACTTTTTTGGAGCGGGTCTACACTACTACTAGTGCCTATCTAGCTTATTTTAATTATTACAAATAAAGAGGATGTATAAATTAACCCCGATAGGCTTAAACAGTGAATCACAAGCGAACATATAGATTTTCGTTTAGATAATTTGCAAGTACATGACGTATTTGTATATGGATTATTTACCGAAAATTGCCTTTGGAGCTCGGCCTCCATGGAGGCTTCCAAATTCAAATTTAAATTTCATCAAAATTCATATTGTTACATTTCAAAAAAAAAATCTGAAAAAAATACAGATATATATGAAGTCATAACACATATGTGTGTAAATTTTCAGGGCAAACTATGTTGAAATGAGGCCTGTGCAAAAGAAAATATAGGGCTTTTTAACACATGATACTATTCATCTTCTCAGGCCATGAATTTGACTTTTTTGTACATATAGTATTTCAGGGTATTTCATCCTGAAAATTTACACACATACACATACACATAACTACCTTTTTTACTTACACAAATTTTGTCAGATTTTTTTGAAACCAAAAAGTTTGAATTTAGAATTTTTCAAAAATTTCGAGCTCTAGTGAGCTCGGTCACCAAACGTCCGTTGTCATTATTTACTATTTATAAATTCCACCTAGGATTATAATCATTCCATCAATTTGAGGTTGTATTTAAATTTAAGGAAAAAAATCATAGGAAAAATAACTCAAAGAGGATGATTACATGAAGAAAAAAATGTTTGTTCTATTCAATTATACTTGTTTCTACTTTGTGTCGAAATAAATGCATTTTCCATTTGGAAAACACTTGTTTGTGCCTGACTGATCTCTCGACGTCATCATCCAACTCCAGCGATCGACATGTGTTCCTGTGTGGGTCTGCACATAGTTGTCGCCATCTATCCT